GGGACCCTTTGCTCAACCAGCCGGAGCAAGCCTGGAGCTAGCAGGGAGCAGGGCCTGCTCCCCAGCCCAGGGTTTGGCGCTCCACCTGGGAACGAGGAGCACCATGCAGGCTCCAGGGGCCGGCAGCCTTGCCAGCCAGCTTGACACAACCTTGCACACAGACTCCCCGAGAGTAGTGCAGCTGCAAGGACCATGCAGCCCCATGACGCAGCCTGGGGCTCCTGCTTTGCAGCTGAGGGTACATGCAACAGCCTGGGAAGTACTCGTCCTCCTTTGTAAGCCCAGGTCCGCGCTGAGGCAGCACCATCCTGGCAGCCCTCTAGCTCAGCTCACACAGCAAGGGGTCCCCAGGGGAGCTTGAGGAGCTGCAGCTGAGCAGACACCGGACGGTTGTTGGTCCAAGCGCTGCAGGGGAAGGAGGGGGGGAAAGCGGCAGTTATGGGGGGAAACCCATTGCTACAGTTGCAGACACCCAGGCTGGGTGCAGGGCTACCACTGGGTTCCCCACGCACTGGGAAGAGGGGAGGGCCAGGACACTTTGCTGTGGTCCCCAGATTCCTGGTGCTTGGCTGGAGGAAGCAGGAACCCCCAAACAAGGTGGTTCTACCTTTTATCTACCCCGAGAAACCCATGTTTATTACCACTTGCCCTGCTGCAGAGCTGCTCCCCCTCCTCATCCCAACCTCCCCAACAGGCCAGGCACCCCATGCAACACTATCACCCTGCAGATTAAGCCAGAATCTAATTTCACTGCGACCACTGAGCCAGGCATGGGAGCCAGCCGACCACATCCTCCCAGCCACATCCTCTCCAATGTTGGAGGCAAGGGTGTGCCTAGCAGGGCCGCATCCCATTCCAACCTTGGGCCCTGGAGAGGGGGAGCAGAGCTGGAGCAGAGCTAGCCCAGGCCCTCCCAGCCCCAGCCAGTCACACCAGAGTGGCTCTGCTACTCCCTGGCTATGGCCAAGGTCAGCCTGGTCTCCCCCCATGACACAGCAGTACCCCAGCATGGCACCTCACTCCCAAATACCACCAGTGTGTTGGTCTCCAGGGCTGGGGTGCAGAGTCTCCCCCAAGGCCCATGCAGAGCAGTGGCCTGCATACTCCAGGGCCGCTGAAGCATGTACAGCCAGGTACCAACCTGAAAGCAGGACCCCTAACCTGCTCAGCCGGCTTCTGCAGGCTGGGGGAGGTGTGGGGGCTGCCATCAGCTGGTACAGGCAGCCCAGGCGCAGGGGATGCTGAGCAGCACAGTGGTGCCCACATCCACTGCCCCCTCCATCTTCTAGGGACTAGATCAGCAGCTGTGATCTGCTCAGTGATTGCACTGAAGGAGCTAGCCCTAACACAAACACAGGAAACCGTGCGACCAGACAGTTTCCCTCCCTGATGCCCAGGGGCTCTGGCTGCAGGCTCATGACCCTGCTGTCACCAGAAGCAGAGGCATCACTTCCACCAGGGAGCAGCGGGCTCAGCTGGCATCCCGTGGGACTTGCCCTATCTCCCCCTCGCTGCTCACACAGGCAGAGCACCGGTGCCAGCAGCTGCTCAGGGAAACCCTGCCACCCCCCCAGCTGGCTCCCACGCAGGGTACAAAGTACAGTAGGGAGTGGCTGTAGGCACCAGCTGAACTTCAGCATTCATCTGCTCCGAGAGGCTGTTGCTGCCAGGACTGGAGCTTGGCAGAGTAGTGGCACAGGACTGGCCACAAATCTACGCTAGTGGTGCTATCTGGAGGGTTCGGAGGGAAAATGCCACCCTGTTCCCCAGCTCAGAGTGGGACTGCAGCAGCAGCACCAGTAGTTATTGTGCAACACCCCTGCACAAGGCATAGGTCCCAAACAGAGCTGGGCTGGGCACGCAGCAGACCCTGCTCACCTTCTGCTCCAGCTCCGAGGGGAGAGCTGCACAGTGGGAGCTGGGGGTCCATCAGGGCCAGAAGGAGCCCTCCTTCAGCTCCCACCAAACAACCCCCACAGCACACCCCCAGCCCTAGTGTGGGGGGCACAGGGAGCTTGAAGGGATAACAAACCCATTGCTACAGTCACTGACACAGCAGTGTGTGCTCGCAGCCCCGCAGGGACCTTTGTACCCCAGGGGTGCTGGCACCGGGCAACCAGGTGGCCATGGGCAGGGCAAGACCTCCTTGCCCTTGTGGAGCCAAGCCAGCCCAGGCTGCGTGCCACTGGGCAGGTCAGCAGGAGCTGACACCTAGCCCCGCTGTCCCCTGACTTCACAGGAGGGAGGGCAGAGCTCCTGGGTCAGCGTGGGGAACAGCGTGGCCCCAGAACAGCAAGAGCAGCACAGACGCCCCACATCTCCCCTATGCAGTCAGCCCCGGGCTCCCCATCCCCGCCCTCTGGAGCGCGGCAACAGCACGGGCAGCCCCTGGCCTTCCCCCCCCCTC